TTGACGCTGACTTTCGAATATTCCACACAGGCAATTGGAAATTTTTGGATTAAAAATGCGTTTGATTTCATTGCGCTTCACTGCGCACGTATAGAACACTGCCGCACTACTTCAGCTTGACCCCCAACATGACTAATATCAACACAACAGACGTGATGGAAATGCTGATAAAACATTTATTTAAACTCGAAAAATACAATTATATGATCCCCCCCCACACACACACACACACACAATTATGAGGGAACCTCACTATCATATTACCTTCTATTATAAAAATATTCAAACTCAATTACAATACACAGCCCCAAACATAAACAAAACAATATCTAACATATAAATCAGAAAGCCTTGTAAAAATACATCCCTATTTATACAAAATATGCAGCAAAACATTAGTAAACATTTACCTACCTGGTAAATGGTATATTTAATTCCGTTTAGAATGGGAAATTATAAGATAGATCTAACGGTCTGGCGAAACACCACATTTATGCCACTCATAGTCATACTCCATCATATCCCGTTGCATCGTTCACAAAATAATTCTGCTCTCTGCCAGTTTCCCCGCAAGGTTGTCACTGTTATGTTCATCTACTTTGAAAAACGCTTGGACACAGTCCAGTCCCAAACGATGAAAACAAAGTTCCAAGGAATCACAAGTTAGTCGCATGTACACTAAGCAGCAGCACTGTCACCCTTTTGTCGCATGCCGGGGTGGAGGCAGTACGTGAAATCATGATCGGCCGGTCATAAAAATCAACAGTCTTTGATGAGTTACAGGTCGTAGGTTGATCAGGAAAGTATCTATCCTTCGATTCTGCAGGGTTCAGATTCGACAGTCAGTCAAGTATTGCCCACTGTCACTTCAAATTTCAACCTTTCGCAAAATGTAAACACTGGCTCGTCCGCCATTTCAAACTGTTGCGTAACTGGGCCCGGTTGTTCAAAACTCGGTTATCTTTTAACCAGCCGTTAAGTACATTTAACTGACTGTTACCTAATAACAGAGGGTTATCTTGTTGTTCAAAACTCTGTTAACTTTTAACAGGCTGTTAACGTGACGTTAAGTTAACACACATAAGGACCTCCGCTAACTTTTTAACAGTGTGGTTAACTCGCAAATGGCGTTCATGGCTAACGCTGCTTTCATGAGGCCAGTTCAGCAAAGAAAGGATAGGGTGTATCGTGGACTGGACTTCGATATTGGAAATTATTCTGACGAAGAGTTACATACGAAACTGTATCTATGCACATCATAGGAACTAAAATACATGTTGTACAAGTACATGATGCCTACGTTTCAGTTTTTAACACTTGTTGAAAGGTTTATATATGCTTTACTACACTAAATGTGTGAATTTCTTCTGTAAATATTATTCAAACAAATACTTTCAAAGAATATAACACGTACACCCTATATCCACGTATGATATGATATTGAACAAGGCTACATGTAGATAATGAAATTAGTTTCATGAAAAGATATCCGAACGATTAGCATTATGATACTGAAAGTGTAATCGGCGGGATATGGTGATTGTGTATACTCTTATTCTACCGACCTTCACCTCAGAGAAATTGCCAAATATGTACAACAATGTTAACGTATGACATCACTACCGTTGAGATTTCTTAAAAAATGGCGGAAGACATGGGTTTTGCGAGGACCCTTCCCTTGATTCAGGGATCGTTTGTACATAAATATGAGATGTAAGTAATCAGAATGATTCTGACAATGTGTGTATTCTTACAGGTTTTTATCGTTTCATTTTGAGAAAGAGAAGAAGCGGCCAGAAATGCCGATTATTACCGTTGTCGTTCTGCGTGATTTTGCGTCAATCATGGTGTCACGCTGCACAGAAACTTGACAGTTTCGTATAAACACATCACATTCCTGTTCCTATTTCTTGCTACTATGCTCTTTCCATGCAAATGGGTGTCTGAAAATTTGAGAAAATGCTACACAGTATAAAGTCTGAAATTTTCTTTGTTTACATTTCAAACAGGTGTTGTCTTGCGAGCACAGCATTTGTTTCCACCTCCAATACCTTTCGTTTCAGTTTATCTAGACACTTGGTATTGGTTACAATGTATGAGGAATTCAGTAGGGCTGGGACGAGTAGGAAAAAAGGGAATTGAGTACCCGCATGTACTTAATTACCCGAATCGGAATCGAGTACATGTACCCGGAAATGTAAAAAAAAATACATTCGAGTCAACCTCTGAATTCAATCACGATTTGACAGAGACTATTATAGAAAACTTGAAAAAGTCGTTATAAGACATTAAAACTGACTCCAAGCTATTTAATTTACGTCTGTTTAACCAATATAGAGAGTAACACCATTACTTACACTCCTCGTTATAACAACGAACGTTTCGTTCCTGCTGCTACTGTAACTTATCTACTCACTGCTCATGCACAGATAAATTACAGTCATTAAAACTAGGCTCCATTAATCGGACAATACCAGTGATGTAAAGACCCGTGAATTTCCGGGTTAGAATATTGATCTTCAGTAACCCATGCTTGTCGTAAGAGGCAACTATAACGGGATCGGGTTGTCAGACTCGCTGACTTGGTTGACACATGTCATCGTATCCCAATTGCACACATCGATGCTAATGTTGTTGATCACTGGATTGTCTCGTCCAGACTCGATTATTTACAGACCGCTGCCATATAGCTGGAATATTGCTGAGTGCGGCGTAAAACTAAACTCACTCACTCACTCACTCAACGATGTAAATGTGTGTTACGTCAAAAAACGAAAAAGACAAGCCCTTGTCATTACAGAGCTCTTACCCTTTCCGGGTACCCGATTCCTAGAAATAGGACTCGATTCCAGCTGTACCCGACCCGGATTCGAGTACCCGTCCCAGCCTTAGAATTCAGTGATGCATTTGTCGCCGCTGAATATGAAATATATGTGATGTAACTGGCGTCTGAATACCGGCCTTCGCAAAACGTTGTGAGTTGTGAGTGATATGCAGGCCTACTTCGTAGTCACTTTGATTAAATTTTATATTTGAATATCGAAACCCTTTTTTGTCACAGCGAACACAACACTATCTCTTGTCATTTTACACGATAATGTTTGGAATTTTAAACTTATTTTATAACAATATCTGAATGCTAATGTTATACACTGATGTATTTTATAATAGGGATACAATGGCACAATAGTATTTCTCTGCCGAATCGTTGCAGCGTTCTATAATACACTTATGAAATATAATACATGTTTTCCGTCCTTGAAGAAATTGAAAAGAACTGTGTATGCATTTTCTATAGTCACTTGTGAATTGAACTAAATGGAGGTTCATCTGATCAATTAGTATCGAGGAAATTATGTTCATCTATAACTTAGACGCAGCTTCATGTTTTTCAAGACATCGTTCCGGAATATGCGTCTGTGAAGGCGTTCAGATAATGACGATATTGCACAGTTTTATTCATGAGATTCCTGTCAACAGTAAAGTCGAATAATAGATCGATTAAATTCAGCAGTGTTGGCCCTGGGGCCTATAGTACAATTACAGTTTGATTACTTGCACGTGGTGCTAGTAACATATTAAGTTTCTATTGGCATTGAATGCATATTTCAGATAAAAGCTAATGGTATTATTGTCACAACATCTATATTGTTTGATGTTAAAAGATTTGGCCCTGTGTGTTCATACATTACAATTTTTGACAGACTTGGCAAATAATTAATAAATGATATTGATAGCATCTTAATGACTTGGCCATACAGTCATGACAATTTAAGGAGTGAAAAGTGAGCGATAGGTCTTGTGGGAATTCAAAGATTCGTTAAGACTGTAGCCGTCTAAGCGTAACTCCTGTGTGTAATATTTGTAAATATTCTATCCACTGAAAACATGCTTCTACTATTAATATTACATGTATTTTCATGGATTCATCATATTTTATCTATAGCTGTGCTATAGTTTTTCATTAAAATGACTTTTCTGTTGTCTGAATTGAAGTAAGTCCCACACAGAGCTGGGATCATATGTCTTTGAAATATATATGCAAACGTCTGGAACCTTGTGTTCCAATACAAGCGCTCGTAGCGCTACGACATTCGCATGCCTATGATAAACTATAGAGTTGGCCTCAACCATTGACTGGATTACATTCTCATCGTCAGCAGAGAAATTTCGACTTCTCTTTTTCCTTGGGGTGCAGGCGACATTTCGCGATTCCATTTTTGGTAATCCGGAAGTAAACAGAAAACGGATTGTGGGATATATGGAAGCTAACCAGTGACGTTAACCACACTATTAAACTTTGACGGCGACGTTAGCTAACGGCATGACTAACCATGTTTTGAACAACGCATATTTAACGTTCGGTTACCTAACGGCCGGTTAAGGATTTAACCGGCCGTTAGGAGTTAACCGGCGGTTCTGTCTACTTCGAAGAAAATAAGTAGGTCAGACGATTCCATTATAGTGTGGCCAGGGGGGTACAGTTTCACGGCACACAAAACAATAGGCTGGTTTTAGTCGTGTGGAGTTGGGATGAAAAAAACCCCAAGATCTCGGGTATTACATAATTGCATTGAATAAACAGTAGTTTGATTTCTTTGGACAGAATATTGTTATGTTGTAATGTTAAACAAATACGAACGGCACCTACCGCTCCCTTCACAGACGAGTTCAATTCGCCTCTCGCCCCATGCCGGATTACGCAGTGTCTTCCGCAGAGCGAGGAAGTTCGATTTTAAATGGTTCATGGTAGAATGGAGATAACCCTAGTGTGTTGGAAAATCAGAGACATGCTTTACTGAATTGATGGCGACTAAATATTTCAATTGCAGTTCCAATTGAAATTTAGTCGCCATCAATTCAGTAAAACATGTCTCTGATTTTCAAACACACTAGGTTTATCTCCTAAGTGTTTCCCAAACAGTGTGACTCGAAATGCATAATATATAAATTAAAAAACTTTTACTGTTTTGATTTTACTTTTATTCATTGTTTTCGTCCGCCAGCTCTCTTGTTGGTTGCAGTTGATGCTGGAGATGAGCAAAACATTAAAAAGTACAAATCCTTATGAAAAGTAACAGGGTTACATCTGTAAAATTATCAAAGGATCATGTGCCAGAATGCTTCTTCAAACCAAAATAGTATCTTGGTTATCAGTTAATATTATCAAAAAACTTTGCCAGGGTTGTCTCCCTTGATGTAAATGACCGTTCGAGGAGAAAAGGAGACTCGACCGGCATCTGTTGAGGGCATGTCTGTCCGACTTTGGTCCTCTTTGCGGTGTCCAAGGCGTAACTCTCTGAAATTCAAAATCAGGACGAGTTAATCAAGTTCATAAAAACTCGGATTTGAGCATTTCTTTTGTTTACTCGTGTTAAGTTACTTAATATCAAAAGACATTCAGGTGATATGAACTATATATCTTACATCACTGTTAGCAACTGGGATACTTACGGTGGCATTCCTCACAACTTTTGACATAGATAGCTTTGGCTTTTTCCATCTCACGGGGCATGGTGCTGTCTCTTTTTAAAGTCTGTGGATGATAAATAAAGGCATTTTAGAGTTTGCATAAGCCAACCCTTCCCTTTTCCCCTTTATACATAATAAATGTAAAGATTGAACAGAGGTTTGTGTTTTAACAATAATGTTGCTATGTAATGTTAGTTTATATTTAGATGCTTTTAGACATTCGTAACTACTCGCCTCTTTCCGTGACCTACGCCACCCGGCTTGCCGGAATGACACGAGTAGTAACGAATGGCTTTAAGAGTTAAGTATGATCTGGAATTGTGTAGAAAAGCAGAAACTAATAAAGCATTCAGGACGTCACGATATTGTAACCTTACTGCCCTACAATTTGACCCGTGAAGATCTGGGATAGAATTGGTCTTCAGTAACCCATGCATGTCGTAAATGGCGGGATGGGATGGTCAGACTCTCTGACCTGGTTGACACTTGTCATCCTATCCCAGTTGCGTAGAACGATGCTCATGATGTTGATCACTGGATTGTCTGGTCCTGGTTCGATTATTTACAGACTGCCGCTATATGGCTGCAATATTGCCGAGTGCGGTGTAAAACTAAACTCACTCACTATTTAATGTATATATTTCATATTGCCATAATATTGTAAATGTACTTCCTTACAATTTTGGACTATCACTCTATTTTTCACTTCCATTGTTGTTATTTATCAGTGATGGTTTTTGATTTGTGAACTTGGTTAATGTTATAAAAGAATTATTAACTGTATAATATTCTTTGTTGTTTGTTGGTTTCAGGCTGAAGTCTTTGCGTATAGATTATTAAGCTATTATACATCCCACCGTGAAGAATGAAAGAAATATATTTTGGTATTATTATATGTGTTTCAATGCAACTATTCTTTAATATTCAGAATAACAAACGAGTTCTGAAAATGTTGACGATAAAACTTCATGGGTGGATTCCATGAATCGTCTCTTCGGTGAATTTTGCCTTTGATTGAGGAATAGGACGAAACTAATCATAAACATTCAATAATGGAATACGTGACACGTGTCCTACCTTTGGTGTGATAAGGTAGTGAGTGAGTTGGGTTTTACGCCGCTTTTAGCAATGTTCCAGCAATAGTACGGTGGGGATCTCCAGAAATGGGCTTCACACATGTGGGGAATCGAACCGGGCCTTCCGCGTGACGAGCAACCGCTTTAACCACTAGGCTATCCCACCGCCCCGATAAGATAAGGCGAAATAAAGTAAGCTGATTTTGACTTGGACGCATGAAAACCTTGCAGTGCCATTAACCTCTACCCAACACCCTATCCACTCCTAAACCTAAGGAATAATTAATCCGACAACTTTTGAACTCATCCCTCCTTCAAGAGACTATAATGTACAATATCTTACCTCGAGGTTGAAAAGCAGACGTGGTTGCACTACCCGATATGAACGATTCTAACTGTCCAGGCTTGTGTTGCTCAAACGGCCACAAGGGTGGATGACCAACTTGACCGGTCGAACCTGTTTTTATCCAGTGTCTCAAGCCCTGTGTGGAGAATACCTGCTGGGTAAGATATGAATGACGTGGGTGAATGGCGTTACGGACAATGCAGTGATGTGTGGAGCTGTGTTGGACGAGCGGTCAGTTGCCGGAATGAGTTACTGATGGCCAGTGGTCAGTTACGCCCAAGAGAGTGATTTTTGGGAAGGCTGTTTCATCAGTCCACCTAACTGGTTGACAGTCCGTCTCAGAATATTTCCTTAAAGGCGGTCATTGAACCCCAGCCCAAGGAGGCTCGCCAGGAGACAAAGTTGGCGGACTTGGACTATTGCGGGCTCCGTGAACATTTCATTTTCAGCGCAAAAGAGTGAGTGAGTTTAGTTTTACGCCGCATTTAGCAATATTCCAGCTATATCACGGCGGGGGTAACAAGAAATGGGCTTCACACATTGTACCCATGTAGGGAATCGAACCCGGGTGTTCGGCGTGACGAGCGAACCCTACTCTACTAGGCTACCTCACCGCCCCTTCGGCGCAGAAGAACTTGGGACGTTAATTTCTTAACAAAATTGAAAACCTGGAAGTGGTACATCAAATAAAACCCATTTAGCTGTTTCAGGAAAACCAGGCAACAGCCCGCTCAGTCATTGTAGTGGACACAGGTTGCCCACTGGTAAAAAACGCCGCGGGTCGCTATACAGGTTTTGGCATTTCATCGAAATGGGTAAATTTCTGAGACCTGCATCATTTCAAGCTTTTGTCCCACATGATATAACTGGAATATTGTTGAAAGTTGCGTTAAACCCAACTCACTCACTCATCGTTAGGTTTATGCATAAAACCTATACACGACTGTAACCCAGTCGCAACTATGGCCGCAAGTAGAGCTAGACAAGCATTCTGCCTTTCGCCTCCCGACGATTGATTGATTGCATAAAGTGCTGTTAGGAGCGCAAGCACTCTACGGCAGGCAAACCAGTCTATGAGAGGAACACCGGTCGCAGTTGGTCACAGAAGAGGCATTTAGATTTACGGAGTCGCGACTTTGAATCGAGGCTGAGTTGACGTGACTCGGTATGTGTGATATGTGATCGTGACATGAATTTCAGGTGTCGAAAACCATGGAGAAGTGGAGAAATCATCGTCATAAATGGGTGTTTGTTGATATTCCCGAAAACGTTTGGATTTTGTCCGTCAGAAAAGTCAGGAATGGCAGATTATAAAAGCCTTATTATTTTAAAAACTATAATTTTTAGTGGAAGTCGCGTTGGCTTAGCGGGTTGGGCGGCTGAATCTGTGTGCTGGCTATTAGGTGCCTGACTCTGAGGTTGTAAGGTACTTTACTAAGAAAGTGTTATCCCAAATATAACATATGTTACATATGTTTTAACTCAATCATTCAGTTTAAATGTAATTTTGCGTGAGAAAGAAAAGTTTATTTACGATCTTCACGATTGTTAGTTAGCGGAGAAATATCACGTAAAACTCAACATTTATACCTTACCCTTTGTTTTGTGGAAGTGGTATTGATTGTGTAACACTGTTCCAAGTTTAATACAATTCACATGTGATATTTGATACGACCCGGTGATGTGCTATATCTAGACTTTTGCTACATCTAGGCGGAGTTCTGGGATATACTACAACCCGATGGGATATTCTAACCCAGGGATCTGGAGAATGTTCTATAGTCTTTCTATTTGGAATTTCAGCGGACTTAACTCTTCCGGGGCGGTGGGGTAGCCTAGTGGTTTCGTCACGCCGAAGACCAGGGTTCGATTCCCCACATAAAAATGTATGAAGCCCATTTCTGGTGTCCCCCGCCGTGGTATTGCAGGAATATTGCTAAAAGCAGCATAAAACCATACTCACTCACTCACTTAACTCTTCCATCTGATCTCACATTACATGTATATCTCAAGTCACAAAAAAGACCCGCATTGTATGTGAGTATCAAGTTCCTTGTTGTTTGTTGGTTATCTTATGGGGGTGGTGGAGTATATAGCCTAGTGGATAAAGCATTGGCTCGTCACGCCGAAGACCCGGGTTCGAATCCCCACATGGGTACAATGAGTGAAGCCCATTTCCGGTGTCCCCCGCCGTGATATTGCTGGAATATTGCTAAAAGCGGCGTAAAACCATACTCAGTCAGTCAGTGGTTATCTTACGGAATGATTCCCGGTTAACTTTTTAGTCTCAACCTGGCAACACGCGACGTCACATTTTGAAATTTGGTCTATTTGCAGCTCACATGTTTCTGACAATCATATCATCAGAAGTTCCCTAAATATGTCTAGATCTGGGCCCCGTTTCACAAAGCTATCGAAGCGCTACGATTGTCGTAGCTCCTATGCTGTAACACAGACTAAAGACAGTCGTAGCGTCATGATAGCTTTGTGAAACGGGGCCCAGTGTCCTTTCCACAAAGCGGTCTCAGCGCTTATATTATTAGGTGATCGTAACTCCTCTTAAAGAGACCCGTGAAGATCCGGGGTAGAATTGGTCTTCAGCAACCCATGTGCTTGCCGTAAAAGGCGACTATGCTTGTCGTAAGAGGCCACTAACGGGATCGGGTGGTCAGTTTCGCTGACTTGGTTGACACATGTCATCGGTTCCCAATTGCGCAGATCGATGCTCATGCTGTTGATCACTGGACTGTCTGGTCCAGACTCGATTATTTACAAACCGCCGCCGTAGCGCTAAGGTCGCTTTGTGGAACGATCCCAGGTGTTTACTTGAAACAGGCTTCTTGAATATGAACAAACAACGGAATTGAAAAGGCCAAAGACCCTAGTGAAATAAACTAGCGTCCAAAAGAAACGCCACCAAAATACAAATTATCATGAATTGTCAAAATAATTGCCAATCTGCTGAAAAACGGCTGAAAACACATCCCTCGGCCACAACCTGTCTATTCCAGTGAACAAGTGCACGAGATTTTGATGATTGGTGAGTTAAATGAATTCGCACAGAAAAAATGGAAATTGTGCACAAAGTTACCCGTATGACATGAGGGTATAAAACCTGATTAGATTTGTTCTCTCTCATCATGTGACACGATTGAAAGCAGCCAACATGCCTCGATTGACCAAAGAACAGAGGGAAAGAGCAATTGGTATGCTTCAGATGGGCGCAACACAGGAGTACGTGGCCAGGCTCGTGGGATGCTGCAAGTCCACCATCGCCAGACTTGTCACACGTCACAGACAGACTGGCAGTACTGCTGACAGACCCAGGGGTGGCAGACCCAAGGTCACGACCCCACAGGAAGATCGATACGGGTGCTCCATCTGAGAAACCGCTACCTCACTGTGACGTTATCAAGCGCCAATAGCCTTGGACATGCAGTCAGCAGACTGACCGTAGCAAGACGACTCCGTCAGCATGGTATCCGTGCCTATCGACCTTTCAAGGGCATGACGTTAACGCTCCGACACCGACGTGCCAGATTGAGGTGGGCCAGGACCGTAATGCAGTGGCAGCAGCGAAACTGGCGAAGTGTGCTCTTCAGTGACGAGAGCAGGTTCCAGCTCTTCAAATCTGATGGTCGTGTTCGAATCTACCGACGTCGGGGCGAACGGACGGCACCTGCTTGCATCCAAGAAGTGGAGCATTACGTCGGTGGAAGCGTTATGGTCTTGGGCGGAATTTGTGGGGAACAGGAGACAGATCTCGTCATCATCAACGGTAATCACACCGCACGTCGTTACATCGACGAGATTTTACGTCCTGTGGTGCTGCCTTACCTGCAACGTCACCCAAGGACTCTGTTTCCACAGGACAACGCCACACCTCACACAGCTCGGATCACTAGTGACTTCCTCAACACTTACAACGTCAACTGCTACAGTGGCCCGCGAGATCACCCGATCTGTCTCCAATCGAACACCTCTGGGACCATCTGGGGCAACGTATTCGGAAAAGTCAACAGCCGCCAATGACTAGGTACGCTTTGGCAGTTGCCCTGCAAGAGGAATGGCGCCGAATCCCTAATGATGACGTCAGAAGGCTCACATACTCAGTTCGACGCCGCGTTAGAGCCTGCATCACTGCTAGGGGTGGCCACACACGATACTGAATCATCTGTGTTGTTCAGGACAGTTTAAGACCTTAAAGACGAATCAGCGTTGGCGATCGAATACTGGGCACTGCACCCCTGTGTCATCCATGTGCCTTCAGAACACGAACTGTTTCGTTTTTCTAACTGAAAAGTTTCAAGAACTGTTGCTGACTGATTGTGTTTTACAATACAACACTTCTTGTTACCATAATTTGCTTTTGTTGTGTTTTAGTGAAGAAAGCTGTTTGGTGGCGTTTCTTTTGGACGCTAGTTTATAATGCACAATAAACAAACAAAAATAGAAGAGATAATTTATATTTTGTATTATCATAATCTGCAAAAAAATGTCTACATGGTACACATGCCACTCAAGCGGTGGGTAGCCGAGTGGTTAAAGCGTTCGCTCGTCACACCGAAGTCCCGGGTTCGATTCCCCACATGGGTACAATGTGTGAAGCCCATTTCTGGTGTCCCCCGCAGTGATATTGCTGGAATATTGCTAAAAGCGGCGTTAAACCATACTTACCCACTGCTATATAAGAGACGGGGCCCAGCTTTGCAAAAAACAGCACAAGCGCCCCATTCTGTTATCAGTTATGTTACTCCGCGGATTTACATGGTAGGCAAACAGGTCTTACGTTTAAACATTCCAGTTCTCCAAAACATTGCTTGTGATTAGATAGCATTTGATTGCCCAACCAACACCAAACAGTTAACTTTGTCCGTTGCCACAGATATAAAGTCACGCATCCTCTTTTCTCTCATTTCATGTGAAATGAATTTGTATATGATTTAAAACTGATGGAAAAATGGACCTTTCCTACTTTATGAATAAGAGATTTCGGGTACCATCTCATACCTTTCCATAGATATGATTCAGACATTATTCCTGAAAAACAACCTCCCCGGAACTGGTAAATTTGCTCCAAATAAAGCAGTACTTGGGAGAACAGGTCGTGAAACATTACATGTGTTCGATGCCAAACTAGAGTTGTTTTGGCTAAGAATGGAGCCCGGGTCCAAAATGGCCATACATCATTATTATTTACTTTTTTTAAAACTCATAACATATTCCCATGTTGTATTAGTCGATATCAAGGTGTAAAAATGAAATATCAATGCTATTTCGTGGTTCAAGGTATGGATCGTAATCATGGAAAAATAAAATTAAATCGGTGTCGGAATCCAGATATTTACTATATCATTTTGCGTTGATTTCAGAAGAAGGTGGTTAGAAACAAATGATTTTGTATCAACTTAAGCAAAGGTTATTAAATATTCTAACAGGCGTGAAATGAATGATGTAAGATGCTAAAATAACACCACATTTGTACACATAATTATAAATAATTCAAATAGAAGATAAACCAAGAATAACAACGCCGTGTAAACTGAGACTTTTACCCCATAACTTCGTGATATATGTTTTTTTAGAAGAAAAAACAAGATGTCTAAAAACTTGATTGTGTACGTATTCGCCAAAGGCATTACACAAGGCACCATCAAGGCAGGTCGTCTCTAGTTCCAGAGATTATGTTGCCGCTTTTCTCAGTTTAATTTTCTTGCAAGGGAAATAACTCTCATTTGGCGATGCATTTTGTAAGTCTCCTATTCGAAGACAAGAAAGTGGAACACGTTCGGACTCACGAGCCTACCCGGTCAAGCTGTTCAATGTGTATGTTAAAAAGTGTCTGTTGACATTATATCGGGTGCGTATATTCTGACAGATGGCTATATATTTCACATTTTACTCAAGCCATCATTAATTATGTTGTTATAAAGCTACACTAATCATGGGCACACACACACACACACACACACACACACACATTCATGAAAATTAAAACATGGAAAGGATGCATTTCGTAAGGCCAAACTTTGCTATAGGCCGATTGGCCTTTAATTATGATATTTATCAAATAAATTTAATGTGGTGCATTTCGCATGAGAATATTAACATCGTTCAAGTTTTGATGTCCTAAGGTTTTCATTCAAACCTTTTTGAGCATTTTCATCACATAGTAAAGGAGTTTGGAAATTGCTAATTAAATATGTCTATAATATTTTTGACAATTTTCGCTGAAAATTAATGACATAGATATTCAGTTTTAGTTTTCAAAATGAAAATCTGTGCAAAATTGTGTTCTTAAATGAAACATCTTTTCCTGAACATTATATAAATTTCCATTTTGTCCAAAAAACTGAGGAGGTCCATTAACTATATTCATCTCTATGATCATATAAAACCATTTCGTGTAGAAATTGATTATTGTGAAATAATAATAATAATGGTCAAATATAGCCCGATCGGCCTATAGGAAAATAGGCAGAACGGCCTATAATATCCCGTTCGGCCTTTTATAGGCCAATCGGTTGGTTTCCCCAACCTGTTCGTCTTGTTCTGAATGTTCGACATGAGCAGCGATGGGATCCTACAATCAAGACATGACCCTGTCTTGACTGTTGAACCCCATCGCGGCTATCGTCTTGTCGATGAGTGATGAAACTATCATTTTAATTCTGCAATAATTACAAGCGTTACACTCACATGACAAAAGTTTATGGAACTACTAAAAAAAATAATAAAAAATCCATTTCTCCTGTATATTGAAAACTGCCATGATCTACCTTATCAGGCTCATATTTCGCCCCAGAAATAAAGTATTTTACGCATTTATGATTAAATATACGTTTGTAACTTCAATTACTCACATACTCAATACTCATGTTTTCTTAGGTAACTGACTTGCTCGAGGTGAAAGTCTACCTAAGAGCTTCAGATGAATCATTACTGCGATATAGCAGTTGTTAATTGTTAACACTAGGTGCAATATTGCATGAGACACATTGGAGGATTTAAATGATCGACAACAACAAAAGTAATGTCATTCATTAATCCCATGTGCAAGTAAAGATCTGGGTTAGAATTGGTCTTCAGCAACCCATGCTTGTTGTAAGAAGCGACTAACGTGATTGGACGGTAAGGCTCGCTGACTTCTTTGATACATATGCATGTCATTGAATCCCAATTGTGTAGACCGCCTCCGTGGTGTAGTGGTTAGAGCGTCCACCCGGCGAGCGGAAGGTCGCGGGTTCGATCCCCGACCGCATCATACCAAAAAGACGTTAAAATATGGTACTTGTTGGTCCCTGCCTTGCGCTCGGCATTAATGGGTACAACAAGGACTGGTCGGCTCGGAGTCAATATAATGTGTCTGAGTGGGGTATTCATGCTTCACTGCGGCATGGTATCTCAGTGGGCTAGCACTATAAAACCATCTTAAGTCTGGGCTAGTACAAGCAGCTGCACATACACATACACACGCATGCACGTCGTCATATGAGCGAAAAATTCTCAAGCACGACGTTAAACCTAATTCCACAGTTGTGTAGATCAATGATCAATCATGGTGTTGATCACTGGATTGTCTGTTCCTGACTTGATTATTTACAGACCACTACCATATGGCTGGAATATTGCTTAAAGCGACATTAACCAACAACCATATGAAATCATTAAACCTAAGTGACAAGACAAACTGACCGATTATCTTCCTATTTTCAGGTACACAGACAGGAATAGCTTGATAATGGTCACAGAAGAAAACCATTAACAAAGTACAATAAACTTATTAGTAATTCATCATGGCTGCAGCCTACTCGAATGTCACAAGGAAACTGCTACTTAATCTCACAGACATCAAATCAAGTACTCGGCTGTTACCAGCATTTAGCTGTTCAATATGGCAAACGAGGGACTATTCCAGCTGCCCAAACAGCTTGTGTGGACGTCAGTTAAGCATCCACCCATTGTGCAGGACCAAATATGCAGCCATAAGTCACACCACTTTTTTTTTGCCGATGCGGTGTATGGCCGGACACAGTAAATGGCAGAACATAAAGCGCACCAAAACAGCGAAAGATTCGGAACGAAACAAAGTGTTTTCAAACATTGCTAATCAGATAAGGGCAGTTGTTCAAGGTTTGTTTTTCAAAGCTTGATTTTCTCATTGTATTCTATGATCATTTTCCTGTGAGACAAAGTGATCAATCACTTGGGAGATTATACCAATTTCACCTCGTCTATAATATTTTCTAAGTGCCTGAGTTCTAATTACAGTAAATGTGGTACTCCCTATTATCCCAGTCTCAGTGGACCGCCTCCGTGGTGTAGTGGTTAGAGCATCCGCCCATAGAGCGGAAGGTCGCGGGTTCGATCCCCAACCGCGCGTCATACCAAAAGACGTTAAAATATGGTACTTGTTGGTCCCTGCCTGGCACTCGGAATTAATGGGTACAACAAGGACTTGTTGGCTTGGAGTCATTATAATGTCTCTGAGTGGGGTATTCATTCTTCACTGCGGCATGGTATCTCAGTGGGCTAGCACTATAAAACCAGCTTAAGTCTGGGCTAGTACAAGCAGCCGTACATACACGTACACACACATGCACATGGTCATATGAGTGAAATATTCTCAAGCACGACGTACAACCCAATTTCACCTCACCTCACCCCAGTCTCAGTGTTTATATCTTCAAGTTTCATAATTTACTATGAGTTGCCTCCCTTGTGTTGAGTTGTCAGTGCATTACCAGGAGTAAAATTGCATCTATTGACGAGATTGAAATTTACGATCAAGATGGAGTGAAGCCGAATTGCTGAGGAAACTCACATCTGACTGGCTCAAGACCTTTTTTAGCATTCCTATAAATGTCAAATTATCTGCTGGTCGACTAGTTTTTAACCTCAAATTTAACCAATGTTTTTTATATAAGAATTTGAAATTAGTGCACTGCGTTATTGTAATTGCGCAAATCCTCTGTATCTGTAGTAGAGAAGTAGAGGCCAGAATTTCATTTGCCTTTCACCTCTGACATGTCGAGTATCTGTTTAATACTGTTTGTTTATAGATCCATGAAGTTCCGGGTTAGAATTGATCTTCAGTAACCCATGCTTGTCGTAAGAGGCGACTAATGGGATCCGGGTGGTCAGGCTCGCTGACCGGGTTGACACATGTCATCGTTTCCCAATTGCATAGATCGATGCTCATGCTGTTGATCACTGGATTGGCTGGTCCAGACTCGATCATTTACAGACCGCTGCCATATAGCTGGAATATTGCTGACTCCTTCATTTATACAGGTTGATAGAATATTTGACAATTTGTTGTTGTTGATCTTTAACAAAAAAAACCCCATAAATCCTAATTTTCCCAGTATTTTAATTGGTCAGATCCGAAAACTAATGAAAAATACAAAAATGCTATTTGTGGGTATTTTAGCAAAATTCCAGCAATATCACAGTAGGGGATACTAGGGGAATCGAACCTGGATCTTCGTGATGACCGAATGCATTAACTTCTAAGCTCCTTGTGTTCAAAACTGTTCTTTAAGTATTTGAAGTTTTTAAATCTACCTCAGAAAGAGTTAGATATCCCTAATCGTGATGCTGATAAAGACCAGTGGACATTCTTGATTTTTTCAGCCACAGGAGTATCCGACCCCAAACGAAATCCAACATTAGCCAGAATCATTGCTGATGCCAAGGCAAAGAATGTTCCTGCTGCCAACATAGAGGCTGCTCTGGAAGCAGCTGTAAGTATTGTGTGGGAAGAGGGGTAGGAGGTTACTGTGGGTGGATGGGTGGGATGAGGGGCAGGATGTTACTGTGGGTGGATGGGAGGGATGAGGGGTAGGAGGTTACTGTGGGTGGATGGGAGGGATGAGGGGCAGGATGTTACTGTGGGTGGTTATGTGGATGGGAGGGATGAGGGCAGGATGTTACTGTGGTTGGATGGGAGGGTAGGAGGTTACTGTGGGTGGATGGGAGGGATGAGGGGCAGGATGTTACTGTGGGTGGATGGGAGGGATGAGGGGCAGGATGTTACTGTGGGTGGATGGGAGGGATGAGGGGCAGGATGTTACTGTGGGTGGATGGGAGGGATGAGGGGCAGGATGCTACTGTGGGTGGATGGGAGAGGGAGAATGAGGGGCAGGTGGTTGGATAGGTGGGATGAGGGCAGGGATGGAGAGAGGGATGAGGTGGGATGAGGGGCAGGATGTTACTGAGGATCTGGGTGGGATGATGAGGAGCAGGGTTACTGTGGGTGGATGGGGGAGGGATGAGGAGCAAGGAGGTTACTGTGGGTGGACTGTATAGGAGGGGAGGGATGAGGGGCAGGAGGATTACTGTGGATACTGTGGATGGATGGGGGATGAGGGGCAGGGTTATGAGGGAGGATGTTACTGGATGGATACAGCAGGAGATTGTGTGGGGTGGATGGGGAGGGATGTGCAGGATGTTACTGTGGGTGGATGCAGGATGGATGGGGAGATGGGAGGGGGATGAGGGAGCAGGATGTTAGGGAGGAGGTTACTGTGGGTAATGTGGATGTGTTTTTTTGTGTAATGGGATTGGTTGGTCGACCAATATTTTTTTCAATTATATTAAAACATCTTTGGCCATTTGCTGGTATTTGAATGATTGAGAGAGGGTTAAGTTCAATTCAATGTAAACATTTCCATTTGACTTATAACAGGTATCAGTTGTATGTTTTTGTTAATATTACTTTTCAGAGAGTGAACCCTCGAAGATCAGGGTTAGAATGAACCTTCAGTAACCCTTGCTTGTCGTAAGAGGCTACTGACGGGATCGGGTGGTCAGGATCGCTGGCTTGGTTGACGCATGTCAACAGTTCCCAATTGCACAGATTGATGCTCATGCTGTTGATCACTGGATTGTTTGGTCCAGACTCGATTATTTACAGACAGCTGGTATATTGCTGAGTACAGCCTAAAACTAAACTCTCTCACTCACTCACTCACTCTCTCACTCTTCAGAGAGTGGATTTTTTAAGTATCTCTTCAACACTGCCTGTGCAGATTGTTTAAACAAAGTGATCTTGCCCATGTTATCCCCTGGTAAGTCACATTTCTACATGTTTGTGTTGTTTATAGGCAAAGGCCAGAGACAATTCCTCTGTGGTGTACTTCGAAGGGCGAGGTCCTTGTGGAACGTTTTTCGTCGTTGAAGCCTTCACTGCAAAGTCCACAAAAACCAAGAATGACCTTCAAAATATTATCAAGAGGTTTGGGTATGTATCTCTCAAAAACCGATGTGACATAAAAAGTATTAATACACATAGGCCTAACATTAACCCAACCCAGTAACATCCTGTTGCAAATGTGGATATTCTGTACCATAGCTGTAGAAGTATTCTGCCCTTGAATCAGAACAGGGACATCATTTTATAATGTATACCTATTTTGCCCTTGAATCAAATAAGGGAGATGGTCACTCTGTATTGTAGAAACACAAGGATTGGGTACCAGCCTAAACTCTCCATAGGAAGTTCCCTACCTACCCATGAAGATCCAAGTTAGAATTGATCTTCAGTAACCCATGCTTGCCGTAAGAGGCGACTAACGGGATCGGAGGGTCAGGCTCGCTGACTTGATTGACATGTCGGAGGAGAATGTGGACATGGACAAGAACGTGGAAGTTGCTATCGAAGCAGGGGCAGAAGATGTTACCACAGAGAAGGATGAAACAGAGGAACATTTTCTTAAGGTCTGGTCCAGACTCAATTATTTTCAGACCACCGCCGCCATATAGCTGAAATATTGAGTGTAGAGTTAAACCGACTACCCAACCAACCAACCATAGGACAACTGAACTATATCAAACTGCATCTGAAGTATGGGTTCTTGGCAGGTGTTGAAAACTGTTGATGGAGATTTTGGTGAGATGTTCGTGTTGGTTTTGCAGCGCTTCGATAGGCGAGCCTGGCATGGCGAGGCATGCGTTTGACAAGAAGGGCGTAATCATGGCGACACTGTCGGAGGAGAATGTGGACATGGACAAGTACGTGGAAGTTGCTATCGAAGCAGGGGCAGAAGATGTTACCACAGAGAAGGATGAAACAGAGGAACATTTTCTTAAGGTTAGTTTAGGAGGCAATTGCTTTCCATTTCATAAAAAGGATGTGAATGTTTTACAGTGTCACCAATTCAGTGAGTTTGGTCATTATACAGATTGGAGAACCAGTTATTCTCTACTGTAGACCCATACTACTCCTCAATACCTCTCCTACCTCCATAAATGAAACACATTTTCATGAGGCTCTCCCAATAATGTCTGACCGGTCCTAAAATATTATTCAAATTTATTGACCAGAACAGTCTTTTTTTCATGCTTGTGTTGATTAATAGTTAATTTATTGATAATCAAATGTTTTTAAGCCAGTTTTCCAAACATTCATCTCTGAAACAACATCTCTATTTTAGTTTATATGTGACCCAACGACTTTGATGTCAGTGAAGGGCAAGTTAGAGGGACATGTGGACATCCGTTCCTTCATGGTGGACTTCCTACCGATGACCACTGTTGACCCGCCGCCACAGGAGCTGGAAATCGTGGAGAAGCTGACAGAGAAAATGGAGGAGAACCCGGATGTCCAGCGTGTGTTTTTCAATGTCAGGGGAACCGATTCATGACATCCCCAACTCTAGATTATTTCTGAGAGTGCTGATGTCGTGAGGCCTCGGTACTGTTTCTCTGGTGAGAGTGGATAGGTTTGAGTGGCGCATGTAACTGTATTCCAGTAATATAGCAGCATATTGAGGGAGGAATGCCAGAAGTGATACAGGTCCTGAGTGTTTACCATTATTGTGAAAACCAGGAGCACAGGCATGGTACTGGCAAACCCAGACATATGATCACAGGGAAGAGAAATTCCAACCCACGATCATAGTTTTCTTGAGAAACGCCACCCTGCACTGCCTGTTGAAACCAACTTCGCTTTGAAAGTGGTTAAAGCGTTCACGCCGAAGATCCGGGGTCGATTCCCTGCATGGGTACAATGTGCTCCATTTCTGGTGTCCCCCCCCCCCCTTTGATATTGCTGGAATAATGCTGGAATAATGCTGAAAGCGACATAAAGCTAAACTCACTACAGTCTATTATAACTAAAGATTATTTCTGAGAGTGCTGAAGTTGTCATACTGTTTCTTTGTAATCTGGAAGTCGTGAATATATAGGTTTGGAGTATTGTGATCTAAACGAATAATGTTACGTTTGAATGCTTGTGATATTTGTATGGAATAAACTGCAAGGCAAAAGACATTGTACAATGGTGTTTCATGGTGGCTGAAAATGAGGAAGAAGAGAGGGAACAGTTAGTTGATGGTTAAGTTGATATTGGACCATAGTTGTTCAGTGGTTCAACATCTGTTTTCAGCCTTCACATCTTGATAACTGTTTGTGGGGCGGTTTGAGTCAGTACGGTTTATGCGGCAGGGGAACACCAGAATCGTACGGTTTATGCCGCTTTTAGCAATATCACGGCAGGGGAACACCAGAATCGAACCTGGGTTTCGGTGTGACGAGTGAACGCTTTAACCACTCCCCCACTCCCCCTGCGGTTAGAGCATCCACTTGTCATGCCAAAGACTCAGGTTTCATTCCCCTCATTGGTACAATGTGTGAAGCCCACTTCTGATGTACATCGCTGTAATATTGCTGGAATATTGCCATAAGCTATGTAAAACCATTTAGTTTGCATCGATATTTAGCTCATGGGGATTCCATGTCACAGTACGTCTCTGTACTATTGTATAAACTGATTAAATATGGAGTATGGAGCTGGGGAATTTGTTGATTACTATTTAATCGGATGGAATGTGATGTTACTCACAACCTTGGTTACTGGTTTGATGCAGTTTTGGCTGGGTGGAATAGCCTTGAGGTTATAGGGTCACACCGACGACCCGGGTTCATCCTCACATGGGTACAATGTGTGAACCTCCTTTCTGTTGTCCTTTGCAGGCTGACAACAGCATGAGAAGACCTGTCAACATGCCAGACCACCTAATCCGGTCATGCATGGGTTGCTGAAATTCTATCCCTGATTTCAAACAATTATCGTGTGTCAATGGAATGTGTGAGTGTTGGTCTGTTTCTGTAATTAGCAAATATGTTTTCTCTTCAAATATGTGTTCTCTGTTCGAGTGCTGAATATTGCTTTGGATGCAAGAACACAAAACTGATACTCTCATCAGCAGGATTTATTGTACAGAGACTCTGGGAACTACAGGGATACATTGGCTTTTACTGAAGAATTGACAGGCTGAAAAGTAGTTGCGTTGAGGAGTTGAGTTGATAAGCTGAAGAGGTTCAGAAAACTACAATAAATAGCTTTTTGTGAAATTCAGAAAATGTACAAGAAGTTTATTTTATATAGCGCAATCAATATTTCATCCAAATGACCGTAAAGATCGGGTTTAGAATTGTTCTTCCGCAAACTCCTCCTATGGTAAGAGACGACTAACGGGATCGAGTGGTCAGGCTCGCTGATTTGGTTGACACATGTCACCGTATCCCAATTGAGAAGATTCTTGCTCATGCTGTTGATCACTGGATTGTCAGGTCATGCCATATGGAATCAAGCGCGGGAAATTCAAGATTGCTTCATTCATGGGTAAGGATTCAGGGCTAAGAGACAGATTGTTTTCATTTTGTGGGTGAATTTTTGGAGTTGAATGAGAGCGTTTGTTAAAATGTCGACTAATGCAGCCAAGCAGTTGCTTGAATTGCACGAGTTTTGCAAGGAGCACGACATGTTGGAGAAGATTGGCCATCAACGTTAAATGTGAAAGGTGTGACGCTGAGCATTTCCCGTCAAGAAAAACATCTATTGTTGTGGAAGAAATTTGACGTGCCACGCCGAGGGGATATGACAGAAGGACAACTGAAGGTGCTTCAGTCTGATAACTGGAAGCACGGAGGCGGTTGGATAGCCTAGTGGAATATTACTAAAAGCACCTTAAATTCTGGATAAAATATTTTTGGCGTTTCCATGGCAACACGTTTGATTTTGGCTGAGATTGGTAGTTGTGCTCCTTTCTGGAGCAGAACTTTAAGACCTTTCAATACTCTCCTTCCACTTTGCTATATACACGCCAAAACATTTGACATAATCATAACTCTTAGACATATTCATGAAGATTATTTGGCAATTGCGGGGGATATTGATGACTTTGTCTTCTTGTTTAAATCTGTATATTGTTATGTGATGGCTTTGTTCTTTGTGCAACAATATTCCAAGTGCAATACTGTGTACGCGTGGGTAGGACTCAGGAATCAACACGTAACACAGAAAAGAAGAATAAAGTTCCTTGATCGACAGTACAGCATTTGTCCCATGTCTCAAGTTTGCAATTCCCCATTTCTCTCTACTCCTTTGGACCGCCTCCGCGGTGTAGTGGTTAGAGCGTCCGCCCGGAGAGCGGAAGGTCGCGGGTTCGATCCCCGACCGCGTCATACCAAAAGACGTTAAGATAGGGTACTTGTTGGTCCCTGCCTGGCGCTCGGCGTTAATGGGTACAACAAGGACTGGTCGGCTCAGAGTCAGTATAATGTGTCTGAGTGGGGTATTCATGTTTCACTGCGGCATGGTATCTCAGAGGGCTACATAGGCGGATCCAGAGGGGAGGTGCAGGGGTGCGCACCCCCCCTTTTGTTCTGAAAGTTTATTAAATGACCATTGAAACTCGGGTGAAAATGAAGTGTGCACCCTCCCTTTTCTCAATAGTGTGCACCCCACCTTTATAAAACCAGCTTCAATCTGGGCTAGTACAAGCAGCGCACATACACTTACACACGCATGCACGTCGTCATATGAGCGAAATATTCTCAAGCACGACATAAAACCCAATTTCACCTCACCTCACCTCACCTCACCTCACTTCACCTCTACACCTCTACTACATGCGTAGTGATACATGTTTACATATATACATGCGTAGTGATACATGTTTACATAAATACATGCGTAGTGATACATGTTTACATATATACATGCGTAGTGATACATGTTTACATATATACATGCGTAGTGATACATGTTTACATAAATACATGCGTAGTGATACATGTTTACATATATACATGCGTAGTGATACATGTTTACATATATACATGCGTAGTGATACATGTTTACATAAATACATGCGTAGTGATACATGTTTACATAAATACATGCGTAGTGATACATACATGCGTAGTGATACATATAAATACATGCGTAGTGATACATGTTTACATATATACATGCGTAGTGATACATGTTTACATATATACATGCGTAGTGATACATGTTTACATATATACATGCGTAGTGATACATGTTTACATATATACATGCGTAGTGATACATGTTTACATATATACATGCGTAGTGATACATGTTTACATAAATACATGCGTAGTGATACATGTTTACATAAATACATGCGTAGTGATACATGTTTACATATATACATGCGTAGTGATATATGTTTACATATATTCATGCGTAGTGATACATGTTTACATATATACATGCGTAGTGATACATGTTTACATAAATACATGCGTAGTGATACATGTTTACATAAATACATGTGCATCTGTTTGTAAGTTGTTTCTTAGCCGCTCTTAGCAATATTCCAACTACATTTACTGTAAATAATCATGAGCATCGATCTACTCACATGGGCTACGAGAACAAGCATCAACCATGTCAAGAAGCCTGAAACAGTTCAGTCCTGGGTGCCGTTCCACTAACCGATCTTAGCCCTATGCCAATCGTAAACCCCTAGAATCCCAATCTTAGCGTGACGTTAAGATCGGCATACCGTTCCACTAACCAATCTTACCCAAGTCAATCGTAAAGTTAAGTTTCAAAGTCTAAGTTGCTCATGACCAACTTAGGATAGCTAAAATCAATCGTAGAGAAACCAAAATGGTGGCTTTCCTATTCTATGTGAAAAATAAGAGCGAGCATTTCACCGTGAGCGTCCCCTAAAATCCCCCATGAAATGAATTTGTATATTTCTGTGATGTAAACAACTGAAGCCTTACAAATGTCAGGCCGGTCTGACCACTGTCGTCATGGGAACAACCGCGCGAGTCGGTGTAACACATTTGTACAACAATATTGCAACGTCATGGTTAAGAATAGGGACAGCCTTGAAGTGAACAATGTTCTGAAGCAAAAAGATACAAATAGGCTTGATTTCACTGCGCATATTTGGTGGGAGATTCTAAAGGCAGGCCGCGTGTTATTCAAGCCTCGTCACGCCTTGTTTATTCTGATTGACAAGGTTCAGGCACATATTAAAAGCCAGACTTAAAACCTGGGTGCCGTTCCACTAACCGATCTTATCTAAGATCAATCTTAGCAAGTTACGCCAATTTTACAATCGTCTTAGCTAAAAGTTCCACGCGTTCCACGACCCGATCTTAGGCCGATCGTAGCCGGTCCGATCTTACGATCCGATCCCAAGCTTAGATCGAGACTCTTTCGTGCGAGAGATAGAGGAATGCGAGGCACGAGTTATCTCCCTTTGCATAGTCTAGCAAATGATGGAAGTAGTTTACGAACCAACTGAGTGAGTGAGTGAGTTTAGATTTACGCCGCACTCAGCAATAGTCCAGCTATATGGCGGCGGTCTGTAAATAATCTAAAATATTAGGGTAGTGAGCACCTTGGTTTCAGGTGCAAGTGCGTGTGAACGCTGGGTATCAGGCATAATATAATAATAATAAATGCATATTTATAGTGCGCCTATTCCACATCCTGGGGCATGCTCAAAGCGCTATGTACAGATAATGTACACGAGAGTATTTACAGCCGAGATTATAAGTAATATACTGAGAACAGGTTTTAAGTCTGAACTTTAAAAATGTCAATTGTGTCAGAGCTTTTGATATGTGCCTTAACCTTGTCAATCAGAATTAACAAGCCGTGAGGAGGCTATAATAACGTCTTTAATAACACGCGGCCTGCCTTTAGAATCCCCCACCAAATATGCGCAGTGAAATCAAACATATTTGTATCTTTTTGCTTCAGAACATTGTTCACTTCACAACTGTCCCATGACGTTGCAATATTGTTTACAAATGTGTTACACCGACTCGCTCGGTTGTGTTCCTATGACGACAGTGGTCAGACTGGCCTGACATTTGTAAGGCTTCAGTGCAGTGTTTGTTTACATCACAGAAATATTCAAATTCATTTCATGGGGGATTTTAGGGGACGCTCACAGTGAAATGCTCGCTCTTCTTCTTCTTCATATAGACTAT